TTCCATCGACCCCCCCGGCACCTGCCTGCTCCGAGCCGGCCGCGCGCTCCCGCCCAAGGGTCCGGGGTCTGCGGCGCGCGCTGGGCCCGGGGCTGGAGCACTGAGGGCTGCCCTGCTGGGGGAGGGACCTGCCTAGAGCCACAGCGGCCCCTGCCCCTGCTCGGTGTTCGGCCCTTGCCCTGCCGCCCAGCACTCGTTAGGTGAGGCATTAGCGTTGGCTTCTTAATGTCAGATTAGGTGTTTAGTGCTTTGCCAAGTAAATCACCAGCAGACTAGATTAAGGAAAATGCCATATGAACTTCTATGCCACTGCATAGACTTCTACCCAAAAATACACTTTTTTGTTCTGATCTCAATCCTGAAATTCCCAGCATAACACCAGTGATCCATGTGTATTATACTGTACACGCACACGCTACATGCAATTGCAGTGTCTGCCTTTCAAAATGTAATTGATCTGTATCAACGCTTCAAATGGACATGACATTTGCTTTGCCATTGTGCTTGTACACACCTACTGACCTCACTAAAACATCTCAGGTTAATACAGCAACAAGTAGCTTGAAGGTCTGTTTATGGGTGGGAAAAAATACAGTTGTTACTAATTCAGTACCCAGATACTAGAGAGAGTTGCTATGGAGATATATATAGCTCATCATATTATTTTGATTAAATGCATGAGCAAAATGTATCTATTATACCGATGGTGCATAGGTCCAACATTACTGAATTTTAATATGAGCTCAGAATCATGGAATGTAACATATAACAGATGACAGAATATGATCGATTAACACAATTATTTTCGAAGGATTGTAGGTCTAAACTGTGACCTTTCCTAATTTGTTGGTATGGTGTCTCCAACACAGAATGTGTTATTCATCCTCTGCTGTGCCATGCTCGTCACTAGGAGCTGAGAGCCAGTCACTCGGGAAAAATAATTGGGCATCATTGTACTGTTGTGAGCAAATATTTTAAATTTTACAAAGTAAGAGTGCAAAAAAGCATACCATATTAGCATGCATAAGGAATAAGAGAACAATAATGAAAATGTGATAAAGTAATTATGTACGTTAACATCATATCCTAATTTTGAATATTGTGTTCAGTTCAGGTTGCCCACCTTAAAAAGAGGATACTAGAGAAATAGAAGGCATTGAGAGACAAGCGGGAAAAATGAATACAAGCAAGAAAGGTTTCCCAGGTACTGGGAGAGTGAAAAGATTAAGACAATATAGTTTATAGCGTAGATACATAAGAGGTGAGATGAGGGTAAACCAAAGGTAAATCAGCTGCTCCTATTTATCCTTGTAGTACAAGAGTCACTAGACATTCAATGAAACTGAGAGGCAACACATTTAAAAATGGAAAAAGGAAATAGTTTTTTACACAACCTGTGGCATTTATTGTCACTAGCTAACAATAAGGGTAGGAATTTAAGATTCAGACAAAGAGTAAACAAACACATTGATACTAAGAACATCTTCAGTTCCAAGTATTTCTAATTGTATGTAATGTAAGGAATGTAAAAATCAATGTATCAAGTTATAAGCCAGTCTGCTGAGGATCAGGGGGAAGCAAACTCATCCATTGTTGAAGACAGGATGCTAGTCTAGAGAGGCCACCATTTCAGAGCAGTGTGGCAGCTTCTTCCTACTGATTTACTGATATACCTAGCATTTATGAATTACATCAGTAAAATTCAAAGTTTGGGGGGGTCCACATACAATCTGAACTGTGACCATGGATTAATGCTTAACTGCACAGGCACTAATTCAGATCTATGTTCTCTCAAATAATCCAAATTATTACCTGTCTGTGCAATTTGTTTGCCACATACCTGATCAACAAGGGAAACCCTCCCACAACACTCCTGCCAACACTCAATTACATCAGTAAAATTCAAAGTTTGGGGGGGTCCACATACAATCTGAACTGTGACCATGGATTAATGCTTAACTGCACAGGCACTAATTCAGATCTATGTTCTCTCAAATAATCCAAATTATTACCTGTCTGTGCAATTTGTTTGCCACATACCTGATCAACAAGGGAAACCCTCCCACAACACTCCTGCCAACACTCCTAGGCCTTAGCCATGAGTGAAGCAGGTCACACAATCACACAACTCGTAT